ATGAAGGTCATTGTGTACATTGTCAACTACATTCTATCCTCTCTCCATCCAAGAATATCGCTTACCTGCTTCTCCTGTGAACAAGCCCTTGTGTGTTTGAATCAATTGACTGTGCAGGGCCGGAGCAAGCTGAACTGCCGCTCTAGGCAGAGGACGATCACGCCACCCTCAACCTCAATGTGAAAACGAAAGTGACCGGTTATGAAAATGAGGTGAGGTGTCGTGGACCTCTTTTCCGGCGCTCTATGCACGGATATAACTGAGGACGCACGGGTGCTGAGGGACGTGTCGCGGACTGGTGGACACCACCTACTCTATTCTGCCGCTTTATGCGTGGATATAACTGAGGACGCGCGGGTGTCGAGGACCTCAATTCTGCCGCCCTATGCGCGGATATAACTGAGGACGTGCGGGTGCTGAGGGAGGGACGGAGGTGTCGCGGACACTGCACTCTTTATTCTGCCGTCCTATGCGCGGATATAACTGAGGACGCGCGGGTGTCGAGGACCTCAATTCTGCCGCCCTATGCGCGGATATAACTGAGGACGTGCAGGTGTCGCGGACCTCAATTCTGCCGCCCTATGCGCGGATATAACTGAGGACGCGCGGGTGTCGCGGACGTCAATTCTGCCGCCCTATGCGCGGATATAACTGAGGACGTGCGGGTGTCGCGGACCTCAATTCTGCCGCCCTATGCGCGGATATAACTGAGGACGCGCGGGTGTCGCGGACGTCAATTCTGCCGCCCTATGCGCGGATATAACTGAGGACGTGCGGGTGTCGCGGACCTCAATTCTGCCGCCCTATGCGCGGATATAACTGAGGATGTGCGGGTGTCGCGGACCTCAATTCTGCCGCCCTATGCGAGGATATAACTAAGGACACGCGGGTGTTGATGGAGGTGATGCTGGCGCCTCCCTCTCTATTCTATCGTCTATGCGCGAATATATCTGAGGACGCGGGGGAGGTGTCGCGGACATAACTGAGGACGCAGGTGGTAAGGGAGGTGTCGCAGACGCCGCCCTCTCTATACTGCTGCCCTAGGTGGCCGCCTAGGTCGCCTCTATGGACGCGCCGGCCCTGACAGTGTGTGATCGTGACACTTGGTCAATGCGGATCCAGGCCTGACGTTCGTCTGCTGTGGTGCTGTGACTGGACTTTCTTGCACACAGTAATGTCGAGTATGAAAACGCTGTCTGTAAAAGATGGAAGATATTAGCCGCCTTTCCATTGCACACGACATTTGGACACAACTGTCGGAATACGCCCCCTTGTGGCAGCCGCACAGTATTTTCAGTGTTGTCGTGCACCACGGGGGAGAGAAGCTGATTCTCACGGTGTCCGAAATAAAGGAGGGCAAAAGCAAGAGCCTTTATTCTCTGTGCGTTAACATGGTTTAATGAATGAATGAATACTAGAAACTCATGGACCGCTAAAATATTGGAGGGAATGTGGAGACAACATTAAAAATTTATATTTTTATTACTTTCTAACTTACATCCCTGCTAAAAAATCCAGCTTAAACCAGCCTAGGATGGTTGGCTGGTTTTATATGGTCAGCCAGGCTGGTTTTAGAGGGGTTTTGGCCACTTCCAGGCTGGTTTTAGCTGGTCAGGCTGGGAGATGAGCAGCTAAAACCAGCTTGACCAGCCTAGCCAGACTGGGAGCCCAGCCAAAACCAGCTATGTCCAGCTTAAACCAGGATGGTCAAGCTGGTTTTAAATGGTTTTAGCTGGTCACTTTCCAGCCAGACCAGCTAAGACCAGGTTGGAAATGGCTGGAAACCAGCCTGGAAGTGGCTAAAAACCCTTCTAAAACCAGCCTGGTCAACCAGCTAAAACCAGCCAACCAGACTAGACTGGTTTAAGCTGGGTTTTTCAGCAGGGATTTATGAACAGAGACGTTTTTTTTAATATATATACTTTTTATAATTCAAAAAATAACCAAATAAACTCCTATTTCTCAGCTCGCACACGGATCTGCTTGGACAACACTGGAATATGTCAGATACGGTCGGCAGGTCGCATACGGTCTAGTCGCAGGAGCTCAAATATTTCAACGGATCCGCAGCTCAATTCGGATCCGAATTTTCCGCATACGGAGATGATCGGAACTCAACGCAGCTCCCGAACTACTCTCCATTGGAAATGAATGACTTCCGGTCTGTCGCTTGTCGTTTGACGTGTGCAGTGGAAAGGCGGCTTGATAGGAACCATATACAGTCGAAGTCAAAATTATTCACCCCCCCCTCTGTTTATTTTTTCCCCAATTTCTGTTTAACGGAGAGCAGATTTCTCCAACACATTTCTAATCATAATAGTGTTAATAACTCATCTCTAATAACTGGTTTATTTTCTCTTTGTCATGATGACAGTAAATAATATTAGACTAGATATTCTTCAAGACACTTCTATACAGCTTAAAGTGACATGTAAAGGCTTCACTAGGGTAATTAGGGTAACTAGGCAGGTTAGGGTAATTAGGCAAGTCATTGTATAATGATGGTTTGTTCTGGAGACTATCAAAAACAAAAATAAAGCTTGAAGGGGGCTAATAATATTGACCTTAAAATGGTGTTTTAAAAATTAAGAACTGCTTTTATTCTAGCTGAAATAAAACAAATAAGATTTTCTCCAGAAGAACAAATATTATCAGACATGCTGTGAACATTTCCTGAATCTGTTCAACATCATTCGGGAAAAATTTAAGAGAAGAAAAGAAATAACTCAACTGTATGTGGAATAAGGGTGACGTCTATAGATGATGTCGTCCAGCTGGGTCATCTTCTGTGGTCATTTGATCTGTCCTGAAACTTTCACCATCTAAACATGTAATATTGCACATCAGTTTCCATGCATCAAGAGTGATGCGCCGGTTATTTATTTATTTATTTATTTATTTTGAGAGCTTGTACACTGTAAAAAATTAATTGTTGAGAAAACATAAAAATGTAAGGCAACTTGATGCAGTAAGAACTTTGAGTTGTCTTAACAACGGTTTTTTAGTTTTTCTCAGTAACATTTTTTTGTTCAGCTAACATAATTTTCTTTATTTATGCAATGTTGATTATTGTATTTTACTAATAAAGATATTATTGTCACATCAACTGAACAACAGTTACTGCTATTGAGTCAATTCATTTTTTTTTCTGTTTAGTGGATGATTTTTTTTCAAATTTGCAAAATAAGTAATTAGTTCTAATTGGCATATCATCCTGTTTTTAATTATTTTACTTAAAAATGAACACAAACTTTATATTTCACCCATTCATTCATTTTGCTTTAGTCCCTTTATTCATCAGGGGTCACCACAGTGGAATTAACCGCCAATTTATTCAGCATATGTTTTTCACAGCCAATGCCCTTCCAGCTGCAACCCAGTACTGGCAAACACCCATTCACACTCAGACACCTGTACCTCATGTCTTTGAACTGTGGCGGACACCGCAGCACCCAGAGGTAACCCACTTGAACACAGGGCCAACTGACCCAGCCAGGTCTCGAACCAGCGACTTTCTTGCTGTGAGGCAACTGTGCCACCAACTGCGCCACTGTGTCACTCCTCCTTCAAGCAACTGATAAACAAGCTTAGCTTTTGATCGTCACATCTCGCATGCGCGAATTATTTAAATATCAACATTATTGTTCAACACAAAAATGTTTGTCCAGAAAACTCAGTTAAACATGTAGACAAAACATTTTAGGGAATATTGTTGACATAACATATATTTTTATGTAATCAATTCATATTCACAATTCTTAGTATATAAGACAAAAAAAGTACAGTGTGCTAAACAAATGTTTTTTTTTTTTTTTTTTTACAGTGTATCGGTTACATGTTGATTAAATGAATGCTCAGTTATTTCAGATGCAGTGTGTGTGAGTTGCATTTTTGATCAATTGGATGTTTAATTGTGTTCAATTGAAAAGGTGATCTTAGCTCAGTGAACACACGCTGTCTTTGACCTGTGTCTATTGTATTTAAGCATTTGAGTTAAGAGTTCTGCAAAAATGTGCAGATTTGGGCAATGGCTGTGATTTTTGTGTTTGGAGTTCTGACATTTGTGGCTAACCGATTGTAAAAAACTGAAACAACAGCCGTTGTTGACAAAAGACAATAAAGACTGAAGAATGTACACAAGAATAACAATGACAGCGAGTAATGCAGCTGCTGTAAAACACCTCAGATTAAAAATAATACTTTAATATTTAATCAAATTTGCTGCATAACAAGGTCAAATAATCTCGATGAAGACATTATTCTCTTGTTTTGAGTGACTGTAAGCTGCTTTAATAGTTTTATTATGTTGTTATTAATGACGTGTTCCGGATTTCAGTTTCGCTCTCTAATGACTGTGAGTCAGGCTGGATTACTGTAGTTGCGGGGCTAGAAGCGTTCTGTAAGAGGGGCGGGGCGAGCGGCTGTCTGTCAAATGAGAGGGCCGGGCTTCGGGAGCGTTCTCTGATAAGCGGGGCGTGTGGCTGTCATGGTGAGGGCGAGGCTTTCCATGACGGGTGGAGGGGCGTTGCTTGCGCCTGTCAGTCTGCCGTATGGGCGGGGCTGTGGGGGGTCAGCCAAGGGCGGGGCCTGCGGTTGCCAAGCGCTCGGTCACTCGTGTGGGAAGTGCTGATATTTGAAGGCGTCACAGCGGCGTCACGCACGGATTCTGATCGGTGACGAGTTCGCGGTAACGATTACGGCGGAACGACGCGCTCAACGGCACTTTAACGGCGTTAAGCCGAGCGCTAGCCCTCCGGTGGAGAAGTGTTGAGCTCAGCAGCTAGCCAACACTAGCCCGTTAGCGAGCGTCACGTCACGTCAACGAGTCCCCGAGTCAACGCGTCACGGATATCAGCAGCTCCGATCGGGCTGATCGATCAGTTATTGATCATGGAGAAGAAGAGGACGGACTGCCCCGCGCTTCCTCCCGGCTGGAAGAAGGAAGAAGTCATCCGGAAGTCAGGGCTGAGCGCTGGGAAGAGTGATGTGTATTATTACAG